TTGAAGAATGGGCGGCGTGTTGCGGCCGGGACTCTCGTTGTTGCTGGACGAGCTCTGGCTCCGACCCATGCTGATGATCGAGGGATACAGGCCGCCGGCTGCGCTGGCACTGTGGTTGTTTATGCCGTTCGGCGGCAGCGACGATTGGACGGTGCCGATGTTCGGGCTGCTGACATCGTCATTGCCGTACCGCTCTGAAATATATCACCGTATTCATTACCAGACATGACCACCGACACATGATTACATGGGGCATCGGACGGGTGAGGAGAGGATCACCAGGGAGCCGAGGAACACAACGGTACACTGGGTCCGGGAGACACCACCAACTGGGTGCTCTGCCATGACCGAAAGGCGAAAGGACACCGTGGAAGGGCCACGTCCACCGTTAAGCAGTTTGGACTTTTGGCGTTGGGCCATCTATCATGTCGCGGCCACAGCTGCAACCACCGTCATCCGCATCCCCATCCAAGAGCTGACAGCAAAAGACGAGACGCTTTACTATTATTGCCACAGTCCATCAATTTCACTGGCGGTTTCGCATGTTGCTGCGACGTATCAGGCGATCCGTGATCACAAATGAGCCAGACATGAGGGAAATCGGGCGAGAGATTGATTAGTGAGCAGCGATTATGCATCACAAACTCATTCGGCCGAGAAATCTTTCGGTGCGAAAATTTCGACCTCGTCCAATCAGTAGCCGAAAGGACCCAGTAGACCAAGGAGGTGTGCTTCTTCGCTACAGCAACGTCGTCGCCCCCCCCCATCCGATCATCAGCCGACCACAGCTCTGCCTCAGTGCAACGAGGCGGAAACGTTCGCCCTTTTCGCTTACCAGGTGTGATTTCTCCTAACGCTATCTTATGGATGTAATGTGACAGCTTAAGCATCAATAAATCTTTCTTGTATAATCCAGACAAGAAAAACAATCGATACTGAAAGCAACTCAACCTTACGCGAGGGTAAAGAGGTGTAGTGTACGCGTGCAAGCGACATGCTCGTCACGTAATAACCTTGAAATGAGTCATTTCCCCTGTGTACTGCAATCGGCTGAGCTGAGCAACGACGGCCAAGACACACCGGGCGATCAGAGCAGAGAGACGGTTGAAGAAGCAGCTATATTTTTTGGTGAATTACGGAGTTTTACGTCATCCATGTTTATTCATTACCATTCGTCCGGTGGGTCCTTGGCCGCGGGCTACCAAGACTTTTCTCAGTGCAACACCTGTGACGTACAAACACGACGACGCTTCGAATAAAGTAAGGAACTGATGGAAATCTCTAAACCTCATGTCGTTTGCCGTAACTATGGGAACCTAATTTAACAACCTCAAAAATGAGAGATATTATAAAATGTCACAGAACGAATGCCAATGCTTCTAGAAGCAAGTTTTTCAAAGCCACTTTAAGGCCTCTTTACGAACATGTTGTACGTTTCACATGGCGAATGAAAGCTACTGCAAACAGAGCGGATGTCAGACATAAAATCCACGTATAAAATAATGGGAGCCAAATTTTTGGAAAACGAATTCAAAGTAGGGAACTGAATATCAGAACTAAAGAAGGTTTACAGAGAAGTTACTTTATATATGAACAGGTGGCAATCCTGTATATGGATGGGACAAATTTTCGGCCGGAATCTTCAACCTTCTTCAAGTCGCATGGTAGCACAGTGCGGCTTCATGATCCGGAAAAGCTCGGCGGGAAATTCGATTCCAACGGAATGTGACCTTTGTCTTAACAACACCAAGGGCTTTAAAGACATCGTATCGGATGGTAGGGTGTTGGCACAGTGTCTATGATGTTTGTTTCAAGGTGTCGGGTTGGTTGGACTCCGCTCGAGAAGAATCTCTGTCTTATTCACGACTTTCCGTAAGAAATGAACTTACCATAAGTCGCTTAATATCGGAGATGGTCAGTCGGTAGAGCGTCGAACTCAGAACCGATAGGTCCCGGGATCGAACACGAATCGGGCCATTTGCCTTCCTTCCTTCCGAAGTTCATAAATTAGGACCACTATACGAGAAGGAATCAAAGACTAAACACTCTGCTTTTCACATAGCTGCTGTAGGTACTCTGGTTTCATGGCATGCAAATGGAGCATTAATTTCATGAAAAGAAGGACGCCTGAACGACTTCCTCATGAAAGTGTAACGAAAAGCTATATTCGAATAGTAATAACTTTCCTTTTCTTTTCCAATCATTCTTCAGCAAGTGGTGAACTTTAGAAATTCTTCCACTTAATATATAAATCGTTGTTCGTCTGATCTACGATGTGAGATTTCTACGGCTTGTAAAATAATGAGGAATCGTTTCATCCAATCCTTTGGAGAAATCGCAAATGCTTTTTGTGACCCCTGAAACAGCGGGTCGACCCTGAAACGAAGGTAACCAGGTACGATGAGAATTCATTTTCTATTATTTAAAGCAGAATTCACCCGTTTGGACTCGGAGGAGCGAATACCACATCTATGACTGATCAGAATTTAGGTATGCATGTATGTATGTATGTATGTATGTATGTATGTATGTACGTATGTATGTATGTATGCATGTATGT